GAAAATGAAATGAACCAGAAAATAAGCCCTTAACAGTAACCCAAGAAATAAAACAAAATCATTTACAACACATGGGATTGTTGCAGGATAGGTCGAGATTAGACGGTTTAAAGGAGCTATCCTGAATATGGAAGCAATTATAATGAAATTCATGACTCATTAGCAAACATCCCATATCGTGTTTCTCATTTCTGGGTCAATGTTGCTAGGAAATATAGACTCGAGATTTAGATGTTCCATTGACTTTTGTGCTAGATTATAGATAGATGGACTATAGAATGACAGCAAGGCAAAACTTCAAGGTTTCGAAGTTCTTCATTGTTCAAACGTAGGCAATTTTGTCCTTAAGGTAAGTATGAAAAAATAACTTCAAAAATGTATCAGTAACCATTAAGTTGGTGATGGAAGGGTTGTCTGTAAATGTAAAGCAAGAATTACACTGTGCAAATAGGCATTGGCGGTTGTCGGTGGGGATTTTGTGTGCCTGCTGCTTTATATGCAAAATGGCTGGTGAACTCAAGTACCCAATACTGTATGTAATGGGAACCAGATGTCTAACAGAGAGAGAAAAATATTTTATAGCAATAAATGTGACATTGACTCTTAAAGGGTTTGCTGTTTTTAAACAACTTCCCAGTCTTACTTTTCCTCATATTTTAGAATAGCTCCAAGTAGATTGTGTTAGGAAATTATTTTCATATTTTAAAAGAAAAAAAGTATTTAACTTGCCACTAACTTTTAAACTGCATACATAAGAAGAAATGATCTGAAAAGATAATTTTGGAATTCACTCATTTACCAAAGCACTGCACTCAGCAATGCAAAAAATATATATTAAGGCAAATAAAGCATAATTCCTCCTGCCCTTGAGGAACTCAAAATATAGTAGATGTGATAAGATGTGTGCAGCTGTTTGAGGACATGGAACAACTAACCCTGTGTAGATTAAAGCAGGAAGAGAAAACCCAATGGCTTGCAGGCTCCATGAAGGAGAACCCCATTGATTCATCTTGCTCAAGGTTTCCCACAGTCACCGCTCTCTGCATTGGTGAAGAACTTACTGCTGTCTTGCATGGCTATGACTGACCTCCAGCAGCTCAGTTCTCTCTGCCTCCCTGTACTCACTCCCAGTGCAACCCCAGCTTTTTTGCTATGGTAGCTCTTCTGAAACACTGGTCCATCTAGGAATCAGAACCTCCTAAGGATAAAGTTAGGACTAGCATCCACTTTCAGCTTTGCCATTTACTTAAAGATCATGGCTAACCTAACCTTGTAAAAGTCACTCAACCCATCTCCCTCTACCTGTATCTTCTCATCTGTAACATTACATGTCTCATGTACTTAGGGTCAGAATTTATTGAGGTCCTGCATTCAATGTGCTTTGTGTGATGCCAGCAAGAATCAAGAGCATTGTCAGAAACTCTCTTAGGTGTGATCCTAATCATGTTCCAATCTACTTCTTATAAGACAAAATCTAAATTTTTTTTTTGCATGCCAGGCTGCTCATGACCTGTCACTTGCATACTCAATTCTGTCTCTAGATCACTTTCCTTGAATACCAAACACCTTTGCCACACTTGTCTGCTCATGATTGACCAAGTGGCCCTTCTGTGCCCAAAGCCTGTACCTTGCACATGCTGTACCATCTGAATTAGGTACTTCCCTATCCACCTATCTACACAGCAAATTCCTGCTCACCTCCAGTTCTTTCTAGGCATTCTCAGATAACCTGTAAAAGAGCGAGGGCTTCCTGTCATTAAGCCATGACCATAAAAATCACACAGATAGCACAAGTAAGTAAAGTGGAGTTCAGGGAAAGACAGTATCAAGTGGTAGCGACTGTGGTTAAAAACAAAAAAAGGAGACCTCATTCCTGTCTAAAAAGTTACTCTCACTTCATTGTTGTCATGGGAGAATGAGGGTTCAGTATTACCAGTTCTTCCAGTTTTCCAAGGAAAGACAGAAAACTGAATTCTTACCTAAAAATCTCTCATTGCTTACTGTTGGCAACTAAAAAAAGGGAGGGGTTGTCTGGAGGGGGTTCGGTGGTACTGGGGTTTGAACTCAGGGCTTCATGCTTATTAGGAGGCACTCTACTGCTTAATCCATGCTTCTAGTGCCCCCAGTCCTTTTTGTTCTGATTATTTTGGAGATATGGGCTCACTTTTCCCTCAGGCTGGCCTGGACTGCGATCTTCTTATTTTACACTTCTAGTTGTAGCTGGGATGACATACCCGTGCCACCACGCTCAGCTGTAGGTTGAGATGGGATCTCATGAACTTTTTGGCTGGCCATAACCATAGTTCAGACTCCCAGGTAGCTAGGATATAGGCATGAGTCACTGGCACCTGGCATAAAAAAAAATAATAATGCTATTCCTTTAATTCAAATTTTAAAAAGCCCAAGGGACCAAATGACTTCTTGTGTGCAGAAGACCTCAATTCCATCTAGGATTCCTTCTCATTGGTTGCAAAGTTGGCTCTATGGTTAGCAACACTGGAGTCAACTCTCAAAATGGAAACCAAATTCAGAAATCCCATTTATATATAAACTTAATCTACACCTGGCATATCAGTGAATAGCTAGCTAAATGGTCTTAAATTTTACCTGAAAGAGTCCCAAATGTCAGTGTGACAGTGCTCTTAATTTTGTTGGAAGCTGAGCGAAGGTCACATCCTAAACACAGAAGGAAACACGTTGTCTCTAAATCTGCAGAGATGTGGTAAAGAAAAAGACGACAAAGGCTGGGGTGATGAATAGCTTAGAAGCCATCACAGATAGCAATGACGGGGCAGATTTGAAACACTTTTTAATGCACATCATCTTTTATCCAATATTTCAACATCTGGGTTTTTTTCTCTTTTGTTTTGGCAGTACTGGGGTTGTACTCACGGCCTCACACTTGCTAGGTAGGTGCTCTACCACTTTAGCCATATTCTCGGCCCTTTTTGCCTTGGTTATTTTTCAGATAGGATCTCAACTAATGCCCAGGTTGGCATGAATCCTCCTATTAGTGTTTCCCACCTAGCTAGGTGGGAATTGATAGGTGCTCACCATTGCACTTTTGGCAATTTAGCTCAAGGAATTATGCACAAATATTCAACTTCCAGGTGTTCATAGATACCTCTTATTCATATGGTTTTCCAATCAGAGGAATTCACACAGTTGGAAGGCCTAAAGGAAGTGAAAAACATCAGTCTTCAGAGATGATGTGGACAGATGAGATTCTCTAAGGCTTCCTGGTAAGCTCTTTACCAATGTAGCTGGACACAGCTGGTTGAGGGAGCTTCTTGGAGAGTCTCAAGAATTCCAGGCAAGCTTTTAAGAGCCACCTGGTTTGGGTCTTCAGGCTGAGATGTCAACTCCTTTAGCTTTTAGGAACAATTCACCCACACTTATGGTATCATCCTCTCTTTCCTCCTTCCCCCTAAAGCTTCCAATTTATGTTCAAGCCCCTAGTTCTATTTTAAATTCTTTGCATGCAGAACAGATAGAGTGGCTTCTGTTTTCCTAACTAAATCTTGTCTTATATAGACATAAAACTACTATACCCATGACATTGCTGGTGAGCATGTCAAACAGTTTAAAAAAAAAAAAGGATGTTCATTGCAGTCTGTTTATTATGTTGAAAATAAGAGAGCTGTTAATAGAGGACTGCTTTGTGATAATCAGTAATGGTAGGTGAAATCTCTGAACCCTTAATTATGTGACAGATAATGTGTTAGGAAGTTTAAGACTCATTCTATAATTTAACTTCATTGTTTACCACTTTACAGATGAAGAACCTGAGACAAACGACGTCTATTTTGTCAAAAACCACACAGCAAACAAGCATCAGGCAAAGCATTTGAACTCAGTACTAGTTAATACCACAGCTCAAGTTTTGCTCATTAATTGCACTTTTCCTATAAATATCAGTAAATTCACAGTGGTCATTGTACAGTCATCAAAATTATAATCTAGAATAATACATAGCACACAGAAAAAACATTCTGTAATATTCACTGAAAAAGCAGTTTATAAAAAAGAGTCATCAGCTGGGTGCCAGTGCCTCACATGTGTAATCCTAGCTACTCAGAGCCAGAGCTAGGAGGATCACAGTTTAATGAGGGTCTGGGCAAAATATTCTCACAATCCCATCTTAGCCAAAAAAATCTGTGCATGGTGGCAATCATCTGTCATTCCAGCTATCCAGAAAGTGTAAATAGGAGAATGGATATCCAGGCTGGCCTGGGCATAAATGTGTGACCCTATTTGAAGAATAACTAAATCCAAAAGGGCTGGGGGCATGGCTCAAGTGGTAGAGTGCCTGCCTAGCAAGTGCAAGCTCTGCGTTCAAACTCCAGTGGTGCCAAAAATAGAAAAGGTTCATTTTGAACAGGGGTTGTCAGATTGAAATATCAGAATATCATAAGTACTACTTAGTTAAAGACAGGAGTAAGACAAGGATACAAGGTCATTCTTTTAAAATTGCTGCAGGAATTAGTGCCAACACAATAAGTTGTCTCTGTCTCCATAACTGTACATCTTTCTCTGCTTCTTACTGTGTCCCCTACTCATCTCTTACAAATCACCTTCTCCAGCAAATCTTTAAGTGTCTAGGTACAATTACTAATCTCACCTCTGTATGATATTGCAGGTCCATTCCCAGATACTGTCTGATGTACTCTCAAGGAAAGAGCAGTATTAGCCCAGCTGCAGCCAAACATTCCAGCCCTATTCCAATCAGCTGGGGCCAGGGCCCAGAGTTCTATAGAACTGGTTCTATAAAACAGCACGTGGTTTAAAGGAAGGGTACTGACCATCTAAGTAGTGAGTGATCCTATTTTTTGTCTATAAAAGCCATAAATATGAAGGGACAAAAGTTGAAAGGTACCCATATCAAGGTATTACCAATGTTTCTATCTATAATATTTGTTTTATTTTGGCTCCCCTATGTGCTCTAAATTTTCTATAGTGGAAATATATCACTTTGTTCTAAGAGAAAAGAAACCCAGCCTACATGAGGATTAAAAAGTGAATTCCACAGTGGGTGGTATTTTCAGACTAAAGGCCCAGATGAAGACAAATGTATTTTTAGTTATAATGGAATGTACAAAATGCTTATCAAAGAATGGGGAGAGGCTGAATAGCAAAGCTTACCTGAAAGTCCTTGGAGTGGAGTCTCCCCAGGAAAATGTCAAAGCTGCATCTGATGGGGAAGCCAGGCACTGTATGTACAGAGGCCTGATGTCCTGTCACTCTGGGCTGGGTGAGTGGCTCCTAGAATAAGACAGATCAAAAGAGAGAAGAAAGGCATGAGTCACATGGAAAACAATTCCTGATTTTAGAAGGCAAGAAACAGTGGCATGAAAGAAGAAACAAAAACAAAAATATGTATCATGAGCAATCAGCTGAGGAATAAGACAAGCTAAGGCAGAGCAAAGTTCACTGGTATGAATAATGGCAGTGGAATAGCAAGGAAGGAAGGAAGGTGATGGAAGGTTATTCTTTTTCATGCACGGAAAGGATAAAGTCATGACCATGGTATATTGAATGATGCTGTAGAGTTTTAGAAGGATAGTACAATAATGTAGTCAAAGGAAAGAAGGACTGGTGGAATACAGAGTGAAACAAGCAATGCATAGATAAGTTATTGAGAACAAAGCTAGTAAGAAACCCACTCCCACTCTGGGATTAGAGAATGCTAATTCTGTACCACTGTGTTCTGTTGGCCTTCAGTGTTCTCGAATAAGTGGCCACAGACCTTCTTCTGACCTCTGCCGATGACCTTTAAGCATGCAAGTGTTTTTCTTATACCCTACCTTGTATAAACTCATGTATCACTTCATGTCCTTCTCCACCCCCCTCCCACTACAAGTGCATATTTCATTACTTCTCATTGAATTCTTAGTGGACTTTTTTCTTTTGCCTTGCTGGGGATTGAACCCAAGATCTCCTACATGCTAGACAAGCACAAGTTACACCTTCAGCCCCTTAATGAACTTTTATAGCTCCAAATAGATAGCTACTCTGGGAGGCTGAGAGTTGGGGCAACTTTCTGGGTATTTTAGAAGTTTTCAGACATGACCACAAGTTCTTTAACATTCCTCAGATCCAGAGACATTATCTCTATCATCCTTCCTGTGAATGTGTGAGCAGACCTTAGGAAACAGTGGAACAATAGAGCATGTGAGCTAACTAAACACAAAGAATGACTCAGTTTCTGTATTGTTCTCTTGGAACATTCATCTTTAGAGCCCTGAGCTGCCATCTAAGAAGTGAAAGGATGAGATGTTATGAGGAGGCAGAACAGGGGTCTGCAGACAGCAGACCTAATCTCTTTCTCTCTTTCTCTGTCTCTGTCTCTCTCTCTCTCTCTCTCTCTCTCTTCTCTCCATACATATGAAAGTCCATCTGGCAAAAAGAAGCTCAATTGCTTTTTAAAATCCTTTAAAAAAAATTGTTTCTATTTTCTTGTTCTCTGCTGACTTTATTTCTCCTTCTTGTATGATCTTCGAGTCTTCTGTATACTTTTTAGGTTGTAAAACTAGGAACAAGATACCCTACCCCAGCGATGATCTTGGCTCTAATATCACCCTCATCTGGAAAGTACTGTTATTTTTGGCCACCTTTGCATCTTCTTGTGGCTGTAGGAGCTTGGACTCCCTTCCGGGGCAGAACAGGGGTCTGCAGACAGCAGCTGTGTAGGGAGCCAGAGTGGGAAGTCAGCAAGCAGGGTGGTCGGAAGAGCCACTGGGAGCACAAAGCTTCAAATGAAGCAGTGTAGGTGGGAAGGCTCAGATACTGTGGCCTGGAGAGCTGTCTGGCTCAGAGGAGGAGTGACTCATAGAACAACAATGGCTGAGCAGCTGATAAAGCAGGGAGGCTGAGGGACAAGCAGAGGGATCAGCAATTTTCCTCTTCCCCTCCCATGTGGAAGGGAATCCATTCCATCTGTGCTGCCCTTAGGGTGTCCTGGCCATCACCTTGGTGTGTCAACCCTGTGACAAGCCTATGTGGCCACAAGTCAACAGATCCATGCCCTTGCTCAAATGCCCAGAATTCTAGAGGAGCACAGAACCGCTCAGCAGGAAAATGAAGAAGCCACCCCCAGGAATGGCAAATCTACATGCAGGGTTGGCCAGTCACACTAGCTGCAGGCAAACCCATATCATGTCAGGTCAAGGAGAAAGCCCCACAGCCAAAAACTGTTATCCTTCCCAGTTGCCACAGTGTCTAAAATTATACCATTGAAGATTTATTCCTTTGCACACCTCACCTTGGTTAGGGCGGGTCTGGGGAGGACCCATGAAATATCTTCACATAAAGGTGCAAAAGGCTGCAGAGCCCCACTGGGTTATTTGGGGGCAGGAATGGAGGGAGGTGCTGAAAGGGCAGGAACAAGGCAGCGGAGGTGCTGGTGAGGGACAGCAAAGGGCATCTTCTCCTATTTCAGTTTCACTCAGAGGAGCCAGGCTGGCAGCAACATCATAAAACCAAGGCCCCAGAAATTTGCCAGTAAATCTGAACCATGCATGTAAATAATCCTAATAATTTATTCCTTGAAATGCCTTTACAATACATTATTATGCAGAGCTGCACATGCTTCTACTTCAAATTGCTTAAATGATTTTAAAAAGAAAAGTACACTTAGGGGTGATTAAAAAGAATCACAAGAAGCAACATGAGGAAATGGTCCATTGCCTACCATACCAGAACTCGGGAAAGACGCTAAACACACGTAAATCAGATCATGTCAAACAAAGTCTTGGATTCTGGGGAAAGATTCCCTCAGAAATTTGGACAAAGACTTTCTCTTTATATACAGAAGTTTGGTAAACATGACCCAAGAAGATTAAACGGTAAACAAAATCAAATGATCACTATTTGAAAGCCACATCCAGTCCACTGAATCAATAAGCCATAATTCCATCTGATTCCATTTTTAAAGTCCTTAAGAAATAGACAAGAATTTCAGGAAGACAAATAAACCCTGTTAAAACCATCTCTAGGACAGGAAGCTTAGAACAATGAACGCTACTGGGCTTTCAGTAGAATCAAGGATAATACTGGAGAGAGAGAAAATAAGGAAGGGAGAAATGAAAAACCAATGTACCCAGTGTTGAGAACAACCAAATCCCACAAGAATAATCACGTCTCCACATCACTTAGCAGCATATAAGGAACATCCACTTTATATATTTATATTTATTTATATATATATATCTTTATATTTTATATATTTATATATATGTATTTATATTGACACTACCTTAATCTACTAACCTCCAAGAAAGATGCAAACTTTATTCCCATTTTTATACAGAATAATTTGAATAGGAGTAAATTGGTGACCTGCCCAAGGTCATGCAGCTGGTTAGTTGGGAATATGGTAAGATCTTTAAACCTGAATCCCACTAGCTAAACCTCCTGATTTTTCTACTCCAACATCCTTCAGATTTATAAGGTTGGAATAATGTTATTCAAGAAATAACAACCTCGACTCGTTTATGCATTCAACAAATAACAACTGAGCCTCAACTACTGCTGAGCGTTGTTCTGGAGCTACAGAGCACCTTCATGAAGATTTCACATAAGTGACTCATGGTCATCACCTTTAACTGTCCCCTTTGAGAAAGCCTCTCAATGGCCAGTCAATCTAAAGTGGCCCCTGGTGTTCTTCCTCAGTCACTCTTTTAATTTTCCTGAAATACACTCATCCTTCAGTATTGTTTGGGATTGATTCCAGAATCCCTGCAGACACCAAAATCCACGGATGCACAAGTCTCCTATATAAAATGATACAGAATCTGCAAATAATCAATATCCATCTTCCCAAATCATTGCTAGATTACTTATAATACACCGTAATTATCTAATACAATGTATGTGTATATGCAAATGTAAATAAAGTGTAAATGCTAATACAACATAATTACAATGGAATTACCTGATGCACTGTAAATAAATAGTTATTATACTATATTATTTAGAGTATGGCAAGGAACAATGTCTGGGTGAGTCTGAGGATGAGGAAGCCACAGATAAGCAGGACTGATGGTGTGTAACTCCATTTGAAACCATGTAGTTATGTATTTACTCTGTATTTTGCTGCTTGTCTCCATTTCCAGAAAATTAAGTTCTTCTGAACAAGGACCAAGTCTTATTCAAGGCTATCTCTCCAAAACTGAAACAGTTCCTACACAAATAAGTATTTATAATATTAATAAATATTTGTCTAATAGGTGTGAATGAATATCAAAGAGAGCTTTTCTACTGGTGCCTACTATGTCTCTAAAGTAGCATAAAACTCCTTATTTAAATTATCCCCTTTAATCAGTATTGTAAGTGCCAAAATGGAATACATACATACATATGTATAGATATGTACATATATGTATATATATAGAGAGGAGGGTTAATAATAGTTACGAAAGTGCTTGGAAGAATTAAAGCTGAGTTTGAAATGCCTTTATCCTGTGCCACTTTAATGCAAGAGCAAGGGCTGCCTTCTGACGCTAAAAGGTAACAAATTTAAAATGAATAAAAGGAAATACTTCTTAAAGCAACATATAATCTACCTGTGGAATTCATTGCCACAGGATATTATTCTGGCAAATAGTCTAGCAAGATTCAATAAAGGATTAGACATTTATATGAATAGGAATAATATTGGCAGTTACACTAACTAGGTTAAAAAGTTACAAGGCATGTCCGTCCTGGGCTCCGGGGCATAACTGTTCACCAGCTGAAGTGAGGAAGGAATTTCCCCCTGTTGATAGAGCGTTGTATAATTGACCAGATGCATGATGGCTTGTATTTTATTTCTTTCTTTTTTTGCCGTCTCCTGTAACATAAGCAGAGACCACTGCAGAGGGGAAGTTCCTGGACTAGAGGGTCCAGTGACCTCTGAACATCACATTTCTGTCCCATACCCTGAATGGTATATTTAGAGTGCCCAAGAAGTCTTTTGGGATTTGTACCTGAGCATTTTTTTCAATTTCAGAGGACAGAAATGGTAAGAACTATTTCCCTCTTTCAGATGATGAAAATATTTCACGGGATGAAATCATCCTTGCTGAGAATCTTATTTGCAGCACAGATGACAGTGCAAGAGGCTGCCAAAGCACTTCCAAACCTCTAAGTATCAGAAAGAGTCCTTATCAGCTTTCACACAGGGGCATCATTCACCCATTTTTCGTGTCCATTTAACACTCTACCTTATACACATTCACTTAACATGTGTTTAATGAAAGTGCATTTCTGAAAGTAGGATAAGAAAAGCCATTCAGAATGCTTCCTATGCACCTTGTTAAGCTTTTCTCTTTGTGACAGTCAACTTTACACTGCCAGCCATGACCTTTGATTGTTGGTAAGGTGTGCCATGCATTTTTTTTCACTGTAACACGGAAAACCCAAATGGCAGCTTTCAGCCATGCATCTAAATACAAGTGTCCATAGTAACATAGTGTCATATTTTAAAAGGATTGAAACTAAATTATTTATTATAGTTACTTACTTTACAATCTTTAGTCATCCAGGTAGAGACAACACTCTACAGAAACTGCACCCATGCTCGATCTATTAGATAAAGGACACCAACCAAACTGAGGTAAAACAGCCATCTTGTAATCTATAATAGAAAGGGAAATTAAAATTTAAACCCTCAAATCAGCAAGAAATCTAAAAGATTTCTGGGCTGGGGATGAAGTTTGGTGATAGAGCTCTTGCCAGCATGTAAGAGACCCTGGGCTTAATCCCCAGTATTACAAAATAACAATAATGATAAATAAAAGATATCTAAGATTCTTAAATAAAAGTAAATATATGTTCTGAATGTATATGTTTTTCTAGAGAGAGAAAGATACCATAGATTCCATTAATATTTTCAGATATGTTTGCCACAAAATAAGTTTTAAAACACTGATGTAGGCTCCTTTCCAAAAGAAAATCCTCAAATGAACCTGGATGAAGTCCTTTCAAAATCCTTTGGACCTACATGTAAGACTTGTTTCTTTAGACCTCCCTTAAACTGGAAGAATATCAGTTAGATTCTCTCAGCTGAAGACCATTCACATATTGCCTAATTCTCATCCAGAGGAAAGACTTTAAATATTTAAGTCTTCCTTCAGATAGGTACCAGTCATTTCAAGTTTGGCTATTTTCTCTTCATCTAAGATATCCTGTTTACTCTTTCATATGGCTATTGTAAGAGTATAGCTAGTAATATTTGTTTGTTGGTGTGGTTTCAGTTTTTTGTTGTCAGTATTTATTTTTCACTGAAAATTAACCACACATTATGAGGAATTGCAAGTTATTATAAGTTAACTGTAAAAACTCTACAGTTAGGATGGGACAGAAATCTCACACTAGTAGTGTGACTTTAGACAAACCAAGTAACATACTGGAGGTTCTCTTTTTCTCATCTGTAAACTGGAGATAATAATATCTACTACACAAAGCTCATATGTGAAGTAAATGAGACAATGTCCACAAAGCATTAGCACATTGCCTATCATATATTAAGCAGACAAATGTTACCTATTGTCATGACTATTCATATTTTGCATATAAGCAAAAATGTAAGCATTAGGAGTCTCCTGATCGCCAATTAATGCATAGTTTTCATAAAATTTGATGGCTCTTGATGCATACCTCCAGTGGGTTTCCAAAAGGGTTTTGTCAATGTTCCCTACCACGCCAAATATAAGTGTACATTTCACCACTCCTAGGTGAACAATGGAAATTACTGTTAACCAGGAAAAAAAATGGAAAAGGCAAAGAGAAAAAAAAAGAAGAGATGGAAGCAAGAAGAGAAAAGAAAAACATTATATTACAAAGAGTGTGCCAAGTTTTGTGTTTTCATATCTAGGATAGGAAAAATCTGTGAAGAATGCAAATTCCCATTCTTTCACTCAGCCAATTTAGCACATTCACATTGCACCTCTCATTCTGCTGTCACAAACCTTATCGTGTCTGGCCTGAGTGAAGGCACAGAGGGAAAGCAAGGCTTCCTGGTCTTTTCCAAGATGTCCAGAGGTTCCATGAAGGCCAGTGACTCAATTGCCCACCAAGAGCATGAAGAAGTGCATACAGGATCATTCCCAAGGGAAATAGGACCTGACGAAGCCAACATACAAATGTTTTCCTACAAGGAGGAATAAGGCAGAATGACACCACCCACATCTGACCACAAGTCACAGGCGGCGGTGTAACCCAAGGAGGCACAGCACCTGAGCTCTGAAAGGGCTAATCTGTGGAGGAACAGTTGGTTTATGCAGCTTTTCAAAGACCTAAATAATACCTGGTTTTGTGGGAAGAGTGAAAAAAAGGAAAGAGAGAAAGAGAAGATTTCGGCCCTTCGTAGTGAATTTACTGCCTATGAAAGGAGAGACGCTGACAGTGTCAAAATGGAAATTTTCTAACTTGAAGAAATGAAATAAATGGCTTTCTGAGTCCTTTTCTCACCAATGTCCTCTGGTCTCCTCTTTCTCTTGATACAAATCATAAGGGAGGACCTGGAAATTCATCTGAAGTTCTCATGGATATTAACAGGCATTGATTACTGACTTCCTTGCTCACTGCCATGAACTCTCTCTGATGAGAATTCTCTTCTATGTCTATGTCACTGATAAGGTGACTGTTACAATGGAGAACTTGCAGAAAATGCTCAAATCATAGTTGGGCTTTTGAGGTTGATGTCACTGATGATCTGGGAAATCCAAGAGTCTGGTGTTCCGTAAACAGCCTTCAAGGATTTGATGCTCCAAGATGGGGACCACTGCAGGGTGATCTGTTCTTCTCCGTTGACAACTCCACACCTGGATATGAAGCATACCTGGAAAGAGGCAACATGGTGGAAGGAGTAAGTCTCCATCCCTTACTACCTGTGTGACCTTACATAAGTGATTTCCTCTCTAGGCCTCTGCACCTGACTTATTCAATGGCGACAGTAACACCTGCCTGACAGAACCACTGGGAGGGAAGCTGTACAGCTCCTGGCACAAGGGAGAGTACCTTCACATCCACACACATATGTGTATGCAAATACACATGCAGGTACTTGAGCTTTTGAAAATCAATTACTTCTTCCCATCTTTATAGCTCACGAGGTGATTTTTGGAAAGTCATTCATGAAAGGAAGGAAAGAAACATATTTTTTCTCCAACAAGAAAAAGCAATTAAACGTCAAATATTAACTATTCCTGGGAGTAATTTTTTTTAATGGGTTAAAGGCTTGGCCATTATAGACCTCCAATATGTAATTTCTAAGAAAGGACCAAGTAATATAATTTTTTAAATTAAGTGGAAGATAAAATGTGATAACCAGTGTATTCATTCAGAAAGCACTTTTTTATCCATTTTCAGTAGCTTCCCAATTGCATCATGCCTTTTAAGAGATCCAATTTGTTTAACAGCACTTTATTTTAAACCCTCACTTGTGAAAAGCATTGATTTATGATACAGCTGATTAAAGCAATGGTGTCTTAAGCAATAATGATTTCAATTACAGGACTTCCACCAATGTACATTATTCTGATTTTCTCTCCATCCTTCCCACATTTTTATTCACTAAAGAAGGGGGTATGGATAGATGATGTAATTTTGAAAAGTCCCTGGACAAATTTAAATAACAGAACGGAATGTATGGACAGATGGACTGATGCGCCTTTTTTGATTATGTGAATGTATTGTATTTTAATATGCTCTGACAAACTCTGAAACAGGTCCCCGGTGAGCTCCTACCCGATATCATTAGGGTTATTTAGTGCTCAGATCCTGCTCAATTCCCTCTAGAGCCACAGTGAAGTAGTAAAAATGTGCCCACTAGTTTCACTCCAAGTCTAGTACTTATAGTCTTGCCTTCTCTTTTACTGAGGCTGCAGGAAGCAATTAATTCACACTTAGATCTTTAACTCATTCAAATCCAACAGCAGGAGAAATTCATACCAATCCTGAGGGTCTACATTAATCTTTTTGTTTCTGTGACAAAATACCTGAGAAAATAAACCTGTAGGGAGAAAAGATTTATTTTGGCTCACAGTTTCAGAGGTTTTGGTCCATGGTTGCTTGACTCTGTTGCTTTCAGCCAGTGGTGGCACAGTACTCATGGTGGGAGAATGTGGCAGAGATCTGTTTACCTCCTGGTGACTGGAAAGCAAAGACAGAGATAGAAAGGTGTCCAATATTCCCTTCAAGGATACACTCTCAATTACCTAATTTCTACTGGGCACCAGTTCCTAAATATTCTGACACCTCCTTATAGCACCATGGACTGCACACCAAAAATTCCACAACATGGGCTTCTAGGGAGATACTCCAAATCCAAACTCTAGCCAGGCCTATCCCATAGTCAAGGTTGGTAAATAAAAAAGTGAATTCACCCTGGAGTCACGCATAAGGGAATTCAATCCATTCATCTGAGGCAACATGAAACCTAACCCAGGGATAGGGGCAAACACTTTCACTAATGATGGCAGAAAGTGAAGGAACCCTCCAATGAGTTTAGCTACTCCTGGGTCCCAAATGAATGTTATTATAGGAATCTGTGGACCATGAGAGCCACAACTTCAGATGTTTCAAAGGAATCCAGAAACTCATATGAAGTTGAAGTGTGTCAGTGTTTGAGTTGACAAGCACTAGGCAAATTCAGTCTGCAGCCTGGCTCTCTGGTGCTTCCTCGTTGCTGCATGAGTGAGTGGCCAATCCATCCAGTTACTGGAGAGATGTACTACAATAAAGTACTGTGCTCTGCAATACCCTTTAAAAATTAACAAAGTATTTTTACTCTGCCACTTCATATTGTGAATTTATTATGCACTAAAAAACAGGGTATACGAAACAAAAAACAATAGCTGTTATCTCCCTTCAAGGCAGTCTAACATTTATATGTGAAGTAGAAAGCGATTTCAAGTTGAAAAAGTACAGAGAAATGCAACTTAACATTGAGGTTAAATCTATCACATTTATTTTTAGGTAAAAACCTCCTTTGTTACCTTTTAGGTAAATTAGTTTGTCCCTATGCTCTGATTTGAA